TTCCTTCCTTCCTTCCTTCCTTCCTTCCTTCTTTCTTTCTTTCTTTCTTTCTTTCTTTCTTTCTTTCTTTCTTTCTTTCTTTCTTTCTTTCTCTTTCTTTTTTGGGGAGAAGGAATCTTATAAGTGTGTAATACCACACGACTTTATGCAATGCTGGAGAGCAAACTCAGGACGTCAGCCAGGCTAGGCGAAGCACGCTATCTGCTGAGCTGAGCCTATCCCCTCCCGCTCCGCCAGCCAAATGACAGTCAGGGAATACTTGACTATGGGATCTTCGTACCCATTTATGTCGGTACTACTGCATAGCTGTAATAGCTGAGAGCCGATGGCTGACTCAGCTTCTCAGATGAGAGTATAAAGTCAAGAACAGGGACTCATCCTCAGTCGACCCCACCCACATCTAGGGGAGTGAAAGAGCAGCCTGTGAGGAAGAAGAGGAAAGAGTGGAGACCAACACCTTAGAGAAACCTCGATCTAGCAGAGTGAGAGTCGAGGAAGAAGGCAGTGCTCCGAGCGAGCTAGCTGCAGAGAAGCTGGAGAAGAGAAGCTGATCAGGGATCACTCGGATCACCGCTAGGAACACTGACGTCTTAGGTGGAAGGAAAAGCTGGAGTCGGGTGCCTGGGACGGAAGTGCGGTGGGAGGTCTTGCTGTTCAGGCGTGTTGCAGGCCTGGGGACTAAACTCAGCCCCTTGCCCGGCATGTGCTCTGCCTGGGGACTAAACTCAGCCCCTTGCTCGGCATGTGCTCTGCCTCTCAGCGACACTTCTCACCCCATGAAGCGGTGTGGGAGGAGGAGGATCTGAGATTCCGTAGTTCGGGGACAAACAGACAGAGGTCAGAGTGTGGCTTAGGTAGAAGCACACTTGTCTTTCCCCAGGTGAGCAGCCACTCCCTAAGGTCCACTCACCAATGCTCAGCTGAGTTGCTGTTAAATACTGTCACATTTGTGCACACACCCATTAGAATTCATGCATACGTACAATATAGTGTCAAATTTAATATTGAAAGTGTATGTGTGTACTTTTAAGGTAATGGCTAGAGGAAGGCAGACTTCAGCCATTCTACAGCGGGAGGACACATTATCTGTGTGTGCAGGGACAGCCCTCCTTATCACATGACCACAGACTGAGAGGGAAAGAAGAGCCAACCAAGCTCCTTCCATTCTCCGAGGAGTGACCAGAAGCTTCAGAAAGTATTTTGTCAAGAGAGGAGTGCAGCCCTGGTGGCGGTGGCGCACGCCTTTGACCCAGCACTCAGGAGGCAGAGGCAGGTGGATTTCTGTGAGTTAGAGGCCAGCCTGGTCTACTTAGTGAGTTCCAGGACAGCTGGGGCTACGCAGTGAGGCTCCTCCCTTGACTCTTCTACCCAGTGTGTTTTGGGGACAGGCCCAGGTGCCTCACTGGGGCACTTCCGACATGCAATGACTGCTGCAGATGTGTGGGCCTCACATCTGCACAGAGCTCGTCTCCTAGAGAGCTCTCCTGTCTCCTTAGTCCTCACAGAATTTGCCTTGCTTTTCTGTTTCACGGGGAATGAAACCGAGGAGTGGAAAGGGTTACATGCCTTCCCAGCACCAGGCTAGCTGAGGAGGAGATCAGGCTCTCACGCCCTTGCTTTAAGGCCTCTAAAATTCTATCAGTCAGTGATGCAGGCCTGTGGTTCTAGAAGCTTGGGGAGCTGCGGCAGGAGGATTGAGAGTTTACATCTAAGGCTGGTGAGGTAGTTCAGTGGGTAGAACACTTCCTGCCAAGCCTGACTCTCAGTGCGGTCTCCGGAATCCATGTGGTGTAAGGTGTACCAGGGTGCACATGGTACACGTACACAGACACACAGACACACAGACACACACACACACAGACACACACACACACAGACACAGACACACACACACACACACAGACACAGACACACACACACACACA